ATATGTGATATATGCTATGAGACATGATCAATGTGAAATGAGATAAGTTATGTGAATATATGAAATGATATATGAATATGCAATACATGATACATGTGATATGATATGAAATACATGGTTACACATACATGGGGTATGTGACAGAAAAGAAAGAACAAGTGATGAGAAAAGTATTCATCGTAAATGCCCATAGTATATGAAACGAGAGCTATAGGTATAGTTGGCATGCCAAGAGTCGAGGGATTGTAGTGGTCCTACGGGACATATATAGCAGTCCTTTGGGACGAATACTGAACAAATGTTCGGTGCCCCATGAGGGAAATTATACGAGCTGTGGTGACAGCATTGGTGCACAACCTCAATATACTCACATACATCTATTCTCAATAATATACATGGGCAACAACAACGACAATTGAAATATAAATTAAAGTGAAAGTGATGCATGAAGGTAAGTTTCATGTGTGCATGACTTGGTTATATATGTCATAGGAAATATATCCATGCATATTGAAATATCATGATCAAATGGTAAGAATGCATATTCATGAAACTATTGTTACATGTTTATTTATGGCCTCACTAAGTCTATGACTTAGCGTGTAAGTGATTTACACGTAGGTACCAAGAAACGTGAAGAGCAAGAATAGAAGTGGCAATGATAGTATTTTTACTAGAAGATCAGATCAGAAGTAATCGACAAAGTATGTATTTTGTTGTGTATAGAGTGTTGGCATGTAATAAGTCGTTAATTATGAGCACTCTGATCGAGTTTGTATTTTGTAGTCTCTTCTATGTAAATTAAAGTATTTTGTTTTAAATAAAGTTTTAAATTTCCCGGGAATTTTCTTTAAGTGTCAAGGTTTTAAAAGTCAATGTGACACCTCGGACTCGTATTCGGGTCGGGTACGGGTTGGGGTGTTACATTATAAATGAGCCAATAATTGAACTTGTTCATGAACATAAACGAATCGATAAACGATCTTATAAATGAGCCAATAATTGAACTTTTTCATGAACATAAACGAATCAAACACACTTGTATTCGTGTTCGTTCATTTATTAAATGAACATAAAAAATTTGTTCATATATGTTTATTTAATGAACGTAAATGAATGTTGTACGAACAGTTAATGAACAGTTCGTTAAATACTTTGTTCATTTACATCTAGAAGTGTTCAATCGGTTGGTTCGGTTAACTAACCGAATCGAACTAACCAAAATTCACTAATAAATTTTTTTTCCCTTTAACTGTTAGTCAAACCAAATACATTTTTGAAAATTTTTATCCGAATCAAATAAATTTTGGTTAATTCAATCAATTAATTGAATTAATTGAAATTTTTTATAAATTTGAATTTATTAGAGGTGTTTTTTTCTTCATTTAGGTTAAAATTTGATTGGGTATTGAAAGTTTAATAGGTCTAGTGATGAAAAAAAAACCTGTGGATCTTAACTCATAAAGGTTTTGAACTTAAAATATATATGTAATATATATAAAATATTAAATATTTAATAATTTTGATTAATTAATCGATTTCAAACTAAATTAACTAATAACCGAATTTAAAAAAAAAGCTTAACCATTAACCGCAAATTATTCAGTCGATTAATTAAATTAAATTTCAGTTTGATCAGTTAAGATCGAACAATGAACATCCCTATTTACAACCCTATTTTTAGCTCAAGTCGGGTTTAATTTTTTGAGATTATTATGATTTAAAAGAAATCATGCTTTTTAGGAAAGAATTTTTTAATATATTACTTGAAATATGGTTCATAAACAAATTTAAATGTGAATTTCTTTCATAGACTGGAAGATTTCCAATTTGTAAATGGCACCATCTCAATTATAAAATTAGTTTGCTTTAGACAAATATATTTGCTTTCTTATGTTTCGAGCTAAATGAAGACTTTAAAATGCCCATCGATTGAAATATATGTATTTCCCATCATGTTAACATGCAAAAATATTTAGGTGTACCACATAATTTACGACATTTTTCATTTTATTAATATAACCACTATATTAAATTCATTAATCGATTCATTCAGATCGAATACTATAGAGACAATGCCGAAAAACATAAAATGTTGAAATCTTTGAATGGTGTGAGAAGTTACATCGTGATTCACAAGAAAGGTTCTTTTTCACGTGTATTCTTAAAATAAAAGTAAACAGGAAGATTATTTATTGATTTTTTTTTGTATTAATAAAGTTATAAAACTTAAAAATACACAACTAATAAAACATGCACGGTTCTCACGTGGGCTGTATTTACTAGCTATTATACGAATGACAATAAGGAATTCAAATACATTTGTTAGTCTTGCCAAAGATTTTCAATTTGCTTGTGGTTTAAGCCCCTCGTATCAAAACATTTTTCCTGCCATGCTCACCAAACCACCATATACTTCCTTTACCAGATTACAGAACAAATAATATTATATTGAGATTACAGAACAATTTGATATCACGATTGAATAATTTTCTAGATTTTTTAAAGAGATTCAAAATTAGACTCTAGACAAGGATTAAATTAAAATTCTTCTCACGTCATAATCAATCTAGCAAAATTCAACTTAACATCTAGCATAATATGTAAGGTTCAATTCGCACGACAACTAAACTTGTAAGAGCATATAATGACCCAAAATTCTAAGTTAAACCGAACCATATAACCATATTACATCAAACGGTGGGCTTGACTAGGATTATTGGGTTAAGATTTGTTTTAAGTGAGAGAAATAGGGCTAAATAGAGTAAAAAGGGTTTAGATTACATGTGAGAGTCGGGGAATTTGGGGTGCAATTTGCCTTTTTGATAAAAACATGAGCAACACTCCTAAGCCCAACAAGCTAACCATCTTTAGGAGTGAACAACATTCGACTCGACTCGAAAAATTGATCTTTTCAACTCGATTCAAAAAATTTAAACTTGAATTGACTTCTAATTGTAATTTCATAAATTCGACTTAACTCGAAAAAATTTCAAATTCGAATCGAGTTATAAAATAGAACTCAAATTACTCAAAATTTTTAGTAATTAGTAGATTAGTTTTAAGTTTGAGTTGAATCCCTCAACTTTGTATGATATATGTGTATCACATATATAATATATATATATATATATATATATATATATATATATATATATATATATATATATATATATATATATATGATTATAGAAAATTGTTAAATTAGAATCAAATAGTATTATAATATTATAAGTATTTACAATTAAATTTAAACAGAAACTCGAACAACTCTACTTGACTCGACTTGACTCGAATTTTATAAACTCGAATTAACTCAAAAAACATTTAAACAAGTTTGAATTATAAAATAGGGTCTACTCAAATAACTCGAAATTTTTTTACTCAACTCGATTAAATGCTCACCCCTACATACAATAAACTAACAACTTAGTTCTAAACTTCAGTTTTTTTTTTGGTTAGTTCAACAATCAACATGAGAAGAAAATATCTTCAATAATATTCCCCCCATCACTTTTCTTCTTCCGCTTGAGTTTGTAAACCAGTGTTTGATATTTCTCCAGACACATAAACATTGAGCTTTCTTTGGAGATCAACAAAGCAACCAACCAATGGTTTGTGAAGATATCATTAACATAATCTGTAACATCTTCGATTTTTTTATTTGAATTTTTTTCCGAATCCGATGATAAAAAAACATTTTGAGAATTAAAGTAATTTTTTTTAATATTATAAAAAATGATATTATACCTGATTAAAAAGAAAATATAATTGATGGAATCACCACCGATCTTTATAATTAAACCAAATAGCGGGTGTTACAATTATGGTGTATCTTCAATTATCAGTCTTTATTTGAAGATACCAACAATAGATAGACTCCTATTGAGTCAAAGAGTAATATATCTTTGTTTAGGTTCCATTAAACTATGGAGATTAGAGAATAAAGAATTGAAATGTTTAAAGTTAGATTCACGACGATTTGAGGGGGTTTTTTTAATTAAATGAACAAATTGATTAATATTCAGGAGGTGAAATGAGTTCGGTATAAAAATTTAGAACTTGTCAGTCACCATCGATGATGACTCACGGTGGTCGATGCAATGACTATTCGTGGTGAACGATGGTCAAAATATGAGTAGATTGAGAGGCGTGGGAAAAAAAGAAAGAAGAAGAAAAATAGTTATATAGGAATCCAATATGATGTCATTTTGTTGTAGATTTAACTTTTCAAAACGACATCATTTTAGTGTCGTTTATCGTTTCATATCGTGGTCACATATTTAATAACAGAGTGATCAAAACAGAAATAATTCAAAAAGTAAGTAACAAAATTGAGATTTTTTAAAGTTTAATGATCAAAATAAAAGTGAAAAATTGTAATTATAAATTATTTAATTTATCCTAATTTCATTTAAAAACCAATCATATATTTTCCAACCCCTAAGCTTTTAAAAATAAAAAAACTCCTTTTATCTCTTATATTTTCCCCATATTTCTTAATTATCTTCCACTTTATATTGTTAACATTTTCTATTAGTTTTCACCGCCAGGATGGATATCCCATATCTAGTTTTAATAATATTACTCAATAATTAAAATTTTACTGTTTTCTGGTAAATATGAACCATTTATTCTAATACAATAACTTATGGAATGAGAATACTTCTACTTAAGTTGCGTAAACACACAATGGTCGGATTGCGTGGGACTCGATTACTTCACGGCATATTCTTTTTCATGCCTTTCTTATCGGTAAATTTAGCGCAATTATGTTGGTGTCAAAAATAATCTAAAATAGGCTATTGATAAAAAAAAGTATTGAAGGATTTAAAGTATTTAAAAATTCATTGTAAAGACATGATGAGTTACATAAATATAATTTTTTTATTAAAATTTATTACGAGGACATGATAAATTTTATCTAAAAAAATATATTTTATGAAATTTGACCATATAACTCGTCATGTATTCGTGACGAGTTTCAAATCGCCATAACAAATGTTATAAGTTCTTAAATAATTTTTCACCGTCCGTATTTCCTTAAATTCTTTTCTGCCCACGATAATTTTCTAATTTTGCCTTTCTAATCTCTTATATGTTAAAAAGTACCCAAGGAATAAGGATGATTTTCGTCTTTAACCCAACAACCATATTTTGACCAATTATTATGTGGCTCCAAAATCTTCGTTAGCTACTCATTTAGCTGCGGATGAACCATCAATTTTCAATTCAATAATAATTAAATAAAGATAAAATAAAACAAGAATTTATAACATATTATATAATTTGAATTGTATATTTTTTTTATTCGCAACAATTTTTTATTTATTATTAATTGAAGCATTGAACTTTCAATTTAAATAATGCTTGATTTTGTTATTATTTTTAATAGTTTAGGGTAATTATAATGCAATATCTGTTAAGAATCTTTTTAAACCATTTATAATGTACACATATATTTCAGATGTAGTTGTTCAGACTCGAAATTAACGTTTCTTTACTAGTAAGACCATTCAATAAATTTTTTGTTAGTATTGATGATTGAGCTTCGGAATATTATGAGTTGCACATGACCTATTTGTTAAGAGCCTTTAGAGAAAACAATACTATTTTACGACCGTTCAATAAATTTTTTATTAGTATCAATTATTGAACTTTGGAATGGTATGAGTTGCACATGACTTATAACTATGGCCATTAAATTCCATTTTTTTAAGGACAATAAGTTAGCCATAGATTTGTAAGGGTAGGGTTCCTTTCTAATATAATAGAAGAGTATAAAATTGGATTTGGGAAAAGAGAAAGTGATGATGAATTGAGATACCAGTAAAAATAATGTTTATTCTTCATCTCCATTCTCTTTATGTATTATATGACAATATTTTCTTAAATAAAAAGTATTACACAGTTTGTATCTTAATAATAACGGTGAATTACTAGTTAGTACCCCAACTATTGTTTTATTTTAGCCACTCAATTATTTTTTGTTTCAAAATCATATCTAACGTTACATTTTGATTAGCGGTGATGTTCACATGTCATCATAAGATAATGTCATTTTATTATTGATTTTTTTTTTAAAAATAGCATGTCAGTAATTTTGTTATCTGAGGTATGATTATTGACCAAGATATGATTTTAAATAAAAATTAATGGAATGACCAAGATAGAACAAAAGTAACAATTAAGATACTAAATATGTACTTTTCCCTTCTAATAATTAGTCAATCTTCAAACAAGTGGATGTTGTAATGTTTACGGTATTTTGACATGATGTTGACATTTGAATGATTAATATTTTCTTTGCATATTGGGTATTATCTAACTTCACGAAATAGTTAAATGTAACAATATATTTATAAAATTTATCTTATGTTTGGGGGAATATTAGATAATGTGTTGGTAAATATATTACCATATTTAAGGTGTTGGGAAATTTATTTATTAAAATATGATATTTGCTACAATATTAATAGAAAAATATAGTGAATTTAAAAAGACGTCTGAAAAATATAACATCTACTTCAAGTTGCATATAGTGAAAATATAAAACTTAACAAAATAGTAAATTAGAAGACGTCTAGTGGTCCAGACATTTTTTTAAAGACATTAAATAGTCTACTTGTATTCACCCATATTATAGCAAATGTTTTATTTTAACAAATAAATTTCCTACACTTTAAATGAGTCACTCTTTTTTTCACCCCCATTATTTAATTTTTTTGCTTATATTATGATATTTATTTTGTTACGATGGAAATATGAAAAGTAATATAAAAAAAAGATAAGACCCTATTATGCAATGTAAAATCTTTTATTTTTAGTCATACTTAAGATCGTTAGATGAGTAAAAATAGATGACTGAGATTAACAATAAGAAATGAGAAAATATTACTATAAAAAAAAGAGTTTATCTATATACTTTCACTTATTCAACGGTCTTGTGTAAAACTAAAAGAATTTTAGATTATGTAAACGGATCCTAACCCTAAAAAATATTATAGTTATAATGATTCAAACAATGATCAAAGATTTGGTATTTAAAATTTATTAAAAAAATATTTTAGCATTTTATATTAGATTTACATCCGAGTTAATTTCTTAAGTTACATAATTTATTTTTCTTCCAATTTTTAAAAATTTTATTAGTACATCAATCATTATAATTATAATTTATTATCTTACACTTATATTTACGTGCATAATTATATTTTTAATTTTATAATTAATATAAAATTTAAATTTAAATGTTTGTATAATTACAATTTTTGTTATTGAAGATAATATAAAAATTAAAATTCTCTATAATTATAAGTGAGTGTAAGTACTTGAGTAATAATTACTATATATTTATGCAAGTACACTATATTATTTAAATATGAAATTAAATTAAATTAAATTTTTTATTTTTTATTTTCACTTTAAAAAATTATTTTTGAAAAAGTAAACTAAATTTCCCATTTTAAAATAAAATAAAAACTAAAATGTAGTTTAATTGTTTTCTAAAAAAATACTTTTTTCTTCGGTGTGACGAGGTGACATCATAATTAGTAATTAGATCTAATATATTAAAATTAGAATAAGAATTAAATCTTGAATCAAAGAATTTTGAATTATTTTATCAATAAAAATTGCACAGATTATTTTAAAAAGAATCGGTGGTAATTTTTGCCTATATGCTGAACAAGGCCAGATAAACGCACCCAAACGCTTTATTTCCTTCGGCTTTCTTCCTTGGCCCAAACATAATCTTTCACCATTTCTCCCCCTTTTCTTTTATAAGCAATAATTTTAGTATTTCTCTCAGAATTTTATCCTAAAAAATCGAGGTGGGTTTTCCTTGTCTTTTATTTTGTTAATTGTTTTGAACCTACTTTGATTCTGGAAATTTTGTTTATCTGAGGTATGATTATTGATCATTTGATTAGTTTCGTTAATCGAATTATTTATCTGGATTGTACATATTAATCCGTAATGGTTTCTGCTTTTTTTTATTTAAAATTCTTAGATCCTCTTAAAATATTGTATTGATTTGAGATGTTGAAGAAAAAAATTGCCGTTAAAATTAGTTTCCTAGTTCCGAACTCGTTATCGTGGCCATGACCATCACCATCAGCTGAGATATTTCGTTGTTGATCATCGGTTATTGGGCTTGATTTAAAGATAATCGGTTGCTTCTAAATTTGACGTGATTGTACTTGTTGTAGCTTAAGGAAAGATTTTTTTTAATGGTGTTATCATATTTAAACTGTATTTGTAGGAAGTAATTACAAGTTCGGTCTTCGTAGACTTAACTGAAAATTTGTCTGCCTTTTTTTCAGAGAATCCTGATGCTAAGAATTTTAAAACTGATACAAGAGTTCATTTTCATATTTTCAATGGGAATGATTTGACGTACAAAATTGTTAGCCAATTTGTCATTGGGTATTCTATTTTCTGATGCCATGAAATGAGTTCATTGAAGCAAATCAAGGGAACAGAATTTGGCTTTTTTGGCATATTATACCCTGTATTTTGCGTTACTAATTTTCCTGATTTTGAATCTCAAATGTTTCCTTGCATGATATCTGTGTTAAGCTTGACATTTCATTTTTTTGGTCCAGCACATTGACACTGTCAATGTTGGTTTGAAGATTTACTTTATGGAAAGAAATAGAACATAATTTTCATAAATTGCCCCTTGGGCTGCTGTAGCGGTAGAAATTTGAGTTTTAATCTTAGTCGACTAACTTGTTGTACCTTCTATCATGTTCGGTAACTAACTGCTTGTTGGACAAGATGCTATATTGGATAGGATTGGACATAGTTTTCTCTTGCTTTGCTTTAGCAGCACCTAGGTTTAGATGTTTCCTTATGCAGGTTAGTCATTGGCATTTCGTTCCTGCAGTGCATCTTGAATTTACCCTTGAGCATGCACACTGATTAGTATGCCAGTTTTGCAAAGATAGCTGTCTACATCTGAAGGTATGGGTTTCATCATTATCCTGTCTCCGCGCAATTTGTTTTGAAGTAGTTGCTTAGAAGTTATACATCAATATTTCTTATAGCTGTAAACTTTAAGTAGTATTCCAGCAACTTTTATATTCTCTTCATTCCATCATACTCTACCTCATCATGTCTTGCAGCGCCTTCACTTCATTTATAGTTCCTTTCCTAGTTCCCTCACTTTATCAATGTTTTCTCAGCTGCAAATGGTTTTGATGTAGATGAAGCATTCCTTTGACTTAACCATACATAGACACTTTTCTGGAGTTGTTAAATAGCTAAGTTGTGGTCTTTCTTGTTTCTCTTTTTTGAATTGCAAATGGTATTGCAGGAAAGCATTGATGGATTGGGCAACAGAAGGAAAACTTCCCGTGTCTTCTTTATTAGGGTCATGTGCACTCATTTTGGAGTGTTTAAGTCTGCTGTCATACACGGAGAGCAAGTAAATGGTATTTGAGCTACCGATATGCAGAATTCTTAGACCTTGTTCAATTGGAATTTGCTTTGACATCAGGATCTTTTCACTCCATAGACTGGAGGGGGGGGGATGATTTAGTCATGCCATTATCTTAAATCTATCATATTTGACCTTCCTCCTTAATGTTTAGGATGTCACAGAAGGTTTAGGGCAATCACAGATTGTAAGCAGGACCAGAGTGGGCCATGCCCCCCTAGAATTTTGAAAAATTATTAATAGCCCCCTGAATTTTTAATTTTTTTTCATTTGACCCCCTTAAAATGTTTCAAAGTATTTTTTATTTCCCCTTATTAAAAAAACTCCCATTAATATATATTAATATTAAATTAAATTGGTACCCTAAAAATATAAATTTTATATATTTGACTGAAATTATCGTAATGATAAGTAACAAATATGTGAGTTAAAGTTATTTTTCAAAATGTTAGCTTATCCTACAAGCTAGTTATTTTCTAGTTTTTTGTCTTTTGTTTTTAATTATTTCTCAAACCATGGCATTTTTTTAATTGATGGAAAATTGAAATTTTTTATACAATCTCACATAGTATTTAGACAGTTTTAGGCTCCTTTCTACTATATATAGAGGCAAATTCATTTTGGTTTATTTAACTCTTAAGAGTTCATTCTATTGAAGAAATACTAGTCGAAGTTTTGCGTTATATATACACACATCATATGATACCCTTTTCTTCAGAAAAGAAAATTAGTTGCCTCCCCTTATCCAGAGTTGAGTGTGAAGATCCACCACTGGTTTAGGGAGTGCTGAGATTAGGGAAATGATAATATTGTCTTCTGGTGTGCAGTTCTATGAACGTAATGACCTGAGAAACCCCTAGGGGTTGTTGGGGGCATCTCCGTGGCCTTTACAGTTCCCCTAGTCAACCAATCTTTGGTTTCTGGTTATAGTGGCTATGTGATGACTTTGCTGAACATTGTGACTGGTATTGTCTGCTGGAAAACCATTACATCCTTTTTGTGGAGACCATCTCTGTATTGCTTATCAATGAATGTAGTTAAAAACTAAGGAAAAACACTAGCAGACTAGCAGTTGAAATCATGCTTGTGGAGACTTATTGCCTCAGAGGATGGATAATTCTGCAAACATTGGTTCACATATTTTATTGAGGCGGACGGCTGACTTGTACTTGGATGTAGTGGCTTAGTATAAGCCAAAATTTACGATTATTACTCTGAAGATTCAAGGCATTGAACCTTCTTGACTGGAGTTGTGGAGTTGGGTTTTGTAAGGTTTTGCTGATTTCTTGTTAGGCTTTCTTGTATGTGCCTCTTTCTGGGGAGTTTATTCACACATTTTGAAATTTTTTTATTTCTCGAATAACATCTTAAGCTTTTCTATTTCTCGTAATATCTTTCCCTTGATTTCTATTTCTAAAGCTTCCTGGGGAATCATTTCACGATTGTTGAACAAGCTCTTGATTTGATGGCAGATTTCTTTAATGAATGTACATAATATATAGTTAATATTTTATTTGTTAATACTCACCTAATTGTGTGAACTAGAAAATTTTCTGACAGACATTATGACGCACAATATAAGAGATACAATCATGTAACCACTTCATCTCTAATTCAAATGTTGCATGATAAGAAGGTAATGTAGGAATCTCTCTAGACCTTTCATGTTGAAGCAAAAACTATTTTCGATGGATAGAAATGTTATATTGGGTATGGTGACCGTCACCTACTTTTTAATTAAACTATAGACATTCATGTTTTCTTCTTATTTCCTTTCTTTTTGGTGATTTTATCAAGAAAATATAAATTACTGGTTTTAAGTGATCCTTCTACTTTATTTTGGTGAAGATTGATCTATTCTGTTTTGTTGGTGAAAGTAACTATCTGTGATCACAGCAGGCTGTACTCTCTTAGAGATGGTGGAACTTCATGCTCTTGTTCATGTACATTAATATATGGTCTAATTACTTTACTTTTCCTCTTGTCTAATAAACAATTTATACAACTATGATATAAATCTCTGATAACATGAGTGAGAGAGTAAAAAACGTAGAGAGAGAAAGAGTGTTAGGACATTCTTCTGTTGGGGAGAGGTGGACGATTTTCGTTGATAATCTTAGTAAGAGGATTTCAAGAGGAAAGTTAAGGGAAATATTTCATTATTATGGTCAAGTTGTGAGGATTTTCATACCAAAGTTTACTCTGAAGCCAAGGTATACAAATTCTACCTTTGCGTTTGTTCAGTTTGCAAGTGAGGAAGGGAGAAGGAGGGCTATACAGTCTGTAGATGGAACTTGGATTGACGGGAAAAGGGTTACAGTAGGGATAGAAAAATATCGAAAAAGTCGGGAAGGTGAAGCTTCTGAAAGTAGGACTAAGAGGATCGGTTCAAAGGCATTAAGGGTGGAGAAAACAAAAGGACTGAATCATGTGGGATTTTTGGGTAATTTGAGGGATAGTAGATCATACAAGGAGGTGGTGGAAACGATTAATGGAAAGGAGAGTGAAAATGTTACTGAGGGAGCTAGAGACAGAACAATGAAGTCTGCAAATTGGTTAAGGAATGTTTGGGAGATGCACATTCCTAAGGAGGATTCGGACTGGGTTAAAAGGTCCTTTACAGGGGTAATCAAGCTTCCATTCGAGCAGGATTTTGTGCAGAAAGCTTTGGAGAATGAAGGTATGCAGGCTAAAATAGCGAGATGGGGGTTATTCATGGAATGCCTGTGTCGTTACTTTTAATTCGATTGAAGAATATTCCGAAGTATGGGCACAAAATCAGGAGGATCTGTTTTACTGGTTTGAATGGATGGCTCCATTGCTGAATGAAGGAGTGCCATTAGCGTTCTGCCTGGTGGAATTAGTGGGGTTGCCGTTATTGTGCTGGAACGGGGAGTTTATGGAGAAACTTGTTCAGAAATGGGGGAAATTCATTTGCATTAAAGAATCCTCAAAAAACAGGTCAGACTTATCGTTGGCAAGAGTTTTGATTAGGGTGGCGAGTCCATTTGACGTCCCGGAATCGGTCACGGTTGGGTCCTACGGTAAATCAGACAAAGTCAAAGTCATATTGGGTTCGATTGATTCAAAATCGGAGTATTTCTCAGGGGAGAAGGCTGGTGAAATTTCAAAATTTGGGAACAGTGATAATGATTTTTCCGAGGAAGAGAGAAGCCGCCGACAGTCACTGGAGGAAGTTGACAATCACAAGAAATCTGAGGACTCTAGGCATAAGGTAGATGGGTTGCTTGATCAGGGTCAGAGTAGTTGGCTGAAAGAGGGGGACGTGGAGCAGTTTATTCCAGAAAAGTCAAATACTGATACCTATATTTTTGGGTTGTCAGATTTTCTTGGAAAAGGAAAATATCATAAAGGGGATCACGTGGGTCTTGGGTTGAGGGAAGAAATGGGCCTTGATGTTCAAGCCCAAGAGGATGATAGTTGGAGTTCAATGTCAAATATGAAGACTTTGTGTCCTTCAGGGCCTGCGTATAATTTAAAGTGGATTAGTGAAGGGTCTAAAGGAAGATTTATTCCCCATTTAAACAGGATTTGAATAAGCCAAGGAATGAAGTGGTGGAGGATGGGGTGGACTTGGACAAGGTGGCTAAGATTGTGGTAGATATAGAGGTGGAAAAGGAAGCTTTACCGGTTGAACCAGCTGGAATTCAACCACTGGAAATTTCTAAGGGTTTGTTATCAAATGGTCTAAGGAGCTGGAGTCCTTTGGCTCATTTATCTAGAAGTTTGGCTATTAGAACCGTTCCGGTTAGAAGGTGGAATAGAGGTAATTGTAATAGAGTCTACAGAAGAACAAAAGTAAGAAAGGTTTGGTACAATCCGAGTAGAGAAGAAGGGCTATTGCATTCAGTTGAGTTGATTGACCAAAATGGAAAAGCATCCAATCATATCGTGAACACTCATTCGGTTCCAATTTTAATGGAGGACATTTGTGTAGATGAGGAAGGTGGTTCTTCTCCAAAAGAAGATGCTGATAAATTCCAGCATTTTGAGATTGGAGAAGAGGTTCAAGCAGGTTGCTTATCTGGAGCAGGGGCAGGGAAACAGAGAAGGAGAGAGAGAAGGATTTTAATAAGGGAAGCAAGTTAGTTCTCCTACGGCCTACTCTCCTTCTTTCTCGTTGTTTTTGGATGAGGCATTGGCTACGTGGGAAGTTAGTAGGATGCTGGGGATTTCCTTCAAAGAGGGGAAGAAGGCTTTTTTGGAAAAAATAGTAAAGCTTGAGGAGGGTTTGGGGGATAGTAGGAATTGCTGAAAGTAGCGGTCTGGGATTTGGTGCTACGTGGTTCAGAGGCTGTTGGGTTATTATTGTTTTGTTTTTACGACAGTTATCAATATTATTTCATGGAACATTAGGGGGCTGGGTAAAAAGGAGAAATCCAGAGCAGTGTACCGTTTGGTGAAAAAGAATAAGCCGTGCATCTTACTCATCCAAGAAAAAAAGCTAGCTAATTGTTCTATGGCTCTTAGGAGAAGGATAGGGGGGAATTTTCTTAAGGGAGGAGTTTTTTCATCAGCTAATGAGACTGCAGGTGGACTGTTGGTACTGTGGAATGAGAAAGAATTTGAAGTTTCCGAAACTCATATAAGTGGCAGATTTATAGCTATATTTGGGAAGTTTAAGACTATGGAAGATGAGTGTGATTATAAATGTATATGGTCCGTCAATTGAATCAGAAAAGGATGAATTTTTCAGGGAGTTGGTGGAGTTTGTTTCTGCTCAAACTAATTCAATTTGCATTGGGGGTGGGACTTCAATTTGTATCTTGATCCGGCTGAGAAGTTGGGAATGTCTCAAAATTTGCATTATGTCTATATTCTTAGAAATTTCCTGCAGTTAACGAATCTAATTGATCTTCCTTTGGTGGGTGGAAGTTTTACTTGGAGTAATAACAGAGAAGATTCAACTTGGGTCAGACTGGATAGGTTCTTAATTTCTGGGAATTGTCTTACCAGTTTTCCAGGGTAGTCACA